AGCAGAAAGGTTAGAAAATTCACCCACCCAAGAGTTTATTTTGGCTGAAAATGGTTTAGTTGGTTCGCCATTGGAATTAGAGAAATCGGCTTTGACTATTCGCAAACTAGATTATAAAGTTAGAAATTTAGGGAAAAAATTAACTGCTCGCGAACAAGAAAACCAAGATTGAAAAGGTAAATATCAGCAAGCCCAAAAAGAGCATGAAAAAACTAATAAAAAGGTTAAGAATTTAGAAAGTGGTGTTAACCGCTTAAAAGCTAATGTAGAGGATTTATTGAACCAATTAAATAACCGCCCGAACCTTACTGAAACCGACTGAAAAAATAAGCAAACCGAAGTTAGTCAACTAACCGCCCAAATTAATACCTTGAACGAGGACTTATTAACTTTAAAGGAACGCGACCGCTTAGAAATAACACACTTAAAAACTGAAAACAAAGGTTATAAAAAACAACGCGACCAACGCCCGGACATTAGCCATGAGGAATATCAAAACTTAACTCAACAAAAAGAGCAAGCCCTAGCCGAAGTGGCGAAAGTGACCGGACAATTAAAAAAAGCCAATGAAAAATTAATTACGACTAACCAAACTATTTCAGATTTAAAAACTAAATTCTTAGCCGAGCAAAATATCCATCATTTAACTCAAACGGAACTAACTGCTTGAAAGGAAACCTTTCCTCAGCAGAATGCCACCCAAATCGCTGCCAAGATTGCTGATTTAATTACTGAACGAGATGAAATTAATGAAAGTTTAACCGCTTGGACTGCTACTTTTGAAAACCAAACTGCTTCCCAAGTAAAAACGGAACTAGATAATTATCGCCAACAAACGGAAATTTACATTACGGGATTAACTAATTTAGGGGTAAAAAATCTAACCGATTGGGAGAATACGGTTCGGGATTGGAAAAACCAAGAAAATCAAGTTAACGACTGGCGGGAAAAATATGAGAAAGAGCAAACCGAGCATGGCAAAACTGCCGATAAATTAAAAGAATTAGAAAACCAACTCCCCATCACCGTTACTTCTACTGAAACTATTGCCACTCCAACTACTATTACTGA